AGTTGACGATGAAGATGTCAGACTTTGAGCTCAGCAACTCAGCGGTGGAGTTGGCAAGCTGACCCGGAGAAGAGAGGAGGGGAGGGGACGAGGGGTGGTGGAGAGGACTTGGGAGAGGCATAGGACAGAATGAAGCAACAGTTGTAGTTGTTAGGAGATTTTAGGCTTGTTTAGATTGAAGCCTGCAAGATCGAACACCAAGAGTCATCCTCCTAGCAGCCTCGGAATGGGAACATGGCCCACGTTCCTGTTCCCATGTTCCACGTTTTGGGAACGTTTCTGTTCTCACGTTATAAAATGATACCCTAAGTTCCCGTTCATGTTCTGGGAATGGGAATATGGCTGCTAAGGTCATCCTCTATCCGGGCTTTTCAAGCATCAAACCAAACCCTGATTATTGGGGGGGTGGGGGGATCGCCACTTGATTTATATGGGGTCGAGTTGATGGGAGTGGAGCTGTTGGGTGGGTTTCTCGAGCGGGTCGTGCCTATATCGCTCGGCGTGTAGGGTTTAGGCCGAGCTGGCAGCACGGCAATGATATGGGCCTCGTAGTCATCCATGGTTGATCTGATCACTCTAAAGATCTAGTATACTTGATTTGTCATTTTTAACTCTGACCAAATATAAAATATATACAAAAGGTTACTGATATTTATGATGTGTAATAAGTATTATTTAATTAATTATTGAATATATTTTTTGAAATACTTATTTAGATGTGTAAAGTATATATATCTAGTCAAATTTAAGAAAAATTTGATTAACACGAAAATCTAGACAATAGATAAAAAGGGACTAAAGTTTAGTCTCTATCACATCGGACGTTCGGATGCTAATTAGGAGGACTAAGCATAAGTTATTTTATAAAACTAATTACACAGATGGAGACTTTTTGCGAGACGAATTTATTGAGCCTAATGAATCCTTCACCACTAGTACATGTTACTGTAGCATCACATTATTAAATCATGGACTAATTAGATTTAATAGATTTATCTTGCAAATTAATCTTTATCTGTACAATTAGTTTTATAATTAGTCTATATTTAATACTTTAGATTACTATCAAACATCCGATGTGACATGGACTAAAAATTAGGTGGTGTTTAAATCCAGGGGTATCACATGAGAGTGTCACATGGAGGTGTCCCATGAGAGTATTCGGAGAGTAATAATAAAACAAATTACAAAAGTTCTCAGTAATCCGCGATACAAATTTATTAAGCCTAATTAATCCGTTTATTAACACATGTTTACTGTAACACCACATTATCAAATCATGAACTAATTAGGTTTAAAAAATTCATCTCGTAAAGTAGTCACAATATGTACAATTAGTTATTTTTTAGTCTATATTTAATACTCCATATGAGAAAAACTAAACAAGGGTTTAGTCTATGGAACTGCAAGAGTGGCCACCGTGCACAGCTAGGTAGCGCACTCGAGTCCGCCCAGCGGCATCTCAATTCTCAAGTTCTCAACACACGCCATAAGGCTGCTCCGCGGGGACCGCGGCCGCCGTGGCGCTTCTCGTGCACGGCTGACCTGAGTACCTGACACATGCGACTTCGCGGGCTTGATCAGAGTTGGGACCAGTCTGGGCCAGCGTAGACACTAGCAGCATGTTCGGTTGACTGGTTTATATCATTGCTGGTTCATAAAGAAGTACGGCTGGTTGATTTGTGTGAGAGAAAAATATTATTCTGACTAAAAATTTACGATCGTTTACGACAAGCCACAGCCAAACGAACAGACTGCTAGACAAGACACGGCGGAAACGAATCCCCCTAGCCCCGACTGCACGCGCGTGAGCCGTCCCAGCCACCACGGCTCCACCACCACCCCGCCCGGGCGGCCGCCTGTGCCTGCGCGCTGCGGCCCTGCCTTCCTGCCGATCAGCGTGTCGTAACCGTTGATGACTCCTCCACGGCTCCACCTCCACGCCTGCCTTCATCTGATCATCTCCACGGGTGAAAACAAACTGAAACATGCTTTGTTTCAATTGTTTGGTCATTGGTGCATGAATTTAGCATTTCTTATTCGCGACGAGGAGCAGAGGCCGTCGGATAATGTGAATCTCACTGTTTTTACCGTACCAAATAGATGATTAGATGGGGCTACTCTGCGCTAAATTTCGCTGGTTTTTGTAGGCTGATGAAGTTAATTAAAGTAAGTCGTCATAATTGACGAACGTGGCATGGTTAGTTACGATTTGTGCAGGGTAATAATAATAAAGAAAAATGGTACGCCTAGCGTCCGGATGGGACGTTGCGTCCGGACACGGCTCTGACAACTGTGCCGCTCTCGCGTCCACATCCCGTCTCACACCCCGTGTCCCGCCTCCCCGCACCTGCACCCACGTCCGTCGCAGGGACCCGCGCCCCGCATAGTGACAGCCACTGGCCACGTTGTGCAACATCCCGATCCACTTTTGCAACATCCAGATGAAATATTTACAACATTCGTCTAAAATAGATGAAACATTTGAAACATACAGTTAAAACACCATTGCAACATGTGCAACATGCCGATCTACTTTTAAAACATCCAGATGCAACACTTGCAACACACAAAAGAAGATAGATGAAACATTTGAGATATGCATCTGAAATACTTGCAACATACATGTACAAAAAACAAATGAAACATTAAGGATAGACGCTTGCAACATACGTGTACAACCATTGCAACATATGCAATATCCCGATCTTGCAAAATCCGCACGAAACAATTGAAACATACATCTGAAACAACTGAAACACTTAAAACATGGGCTTGCAATAAGTCTGAAAAGCGTCCAGAAAACACTTGAAACATAGCATCGTCGCGCGGCCATGACCTAGCTACCTGGTGGGCAACTGTGGTGGCGCAGACTCGTTGGATGGTATGCGCTCGTGCGCCTGCCATGCCCGCCGTCGGTCGAGGGAGAGGATACGCTGCCGGATCTGGGAAGAACGACGTCGGTTGGCCGGGGTAGGGGAGGGTCAGCAGCTTGCTTGTATCCCGTCGGGGTGGGGGAGAGGGCCATCGGATCCGCAGGCGTTGAACACTCCCTGTGGGTGAGGACGCCGGGGTGGAGGGAGGGGTGCTGCCGGGGTGGGCGAGGAGGACGCCAGGATAGGGGAAGGAGCTGTCGGGATGGGGGAGAAGGACGCTGAGGTGGGGGAAGGAGAACGTCGGGGGTGGGAGAAGGAGCCGCTATCGGCCAGAGAAGCAGCGATAGCCGCATCATCAGGTGTGGGGTAGGACACGAAGGGATAAGAATGGGAAGGAGCGCGAGCGCTACGAGAGTGAGCGGTAGGAGGCTTCCGTCTGCCGAGCGTCTTAATCGTATCATTGTTGATAAAGAAATTAACGTGTATGTAGCCTAATAAACTAGGGAAAATTAATTACGAGGTATTCTCGGTGTAGCTTTGTCAGGACCAAGGCTAAGAAGTCGACCAAGTCTGAAGGAAATCCGACAACAGGAGTTGAAGTGGTATCCAGTGGCTGATTGCCTGACGTTTATGGGCCGGTCATTGTCATTAGCGCCATTAGTAATAGGCCAGTGTTTTGGGCTTGCTGTAGGTCGGTTGAGTGGCGGGGAAGTATATAACCCCGTTGTAACGAATCGTGAAAGCTATCGAATAACAGAAACTCTGGAACCATCTCTGAACTCGCGTTCGTCTAAACCGTTCTCGTGCTGTTCTTGCTTTCTTCCCCGAATTCCTTGTTGTTTTCTACCCTGAAATCCATCTACTCCAGTTATCAGTTGCGTTCTTGATCCGGAACGTAACAAGCATCCAGCCGGCCGGAATCGGGCTATTGGAGTAGCCAGTTTTAGGGCGTTGCAAGCAGGCCCCTACGCAGCAAATGATGCTGCCCCCCGGGCCGCCGGGCCAACTTGTTTACCACTCCGTAAAAAAATTGTATATACCTCAAAAGTCAAAATTTGTTAAGTTTAATTAAATATGTAAAAATACAAGTATTTATAATGCATTTTATAAGTACTATATATTAGATTAATAGTACAATATATAAACATATTTAGGTGAAAAATGTTTATACCTTTTTATCAATAGTATAGTTAAATTTAAAAAGGTTTGAATCCTTGAAAAGTGTCGTGTATATTTCTTAGGACTGAAGGAGTAAAGGAAAAAAAAAAAAAATATGAAGGATTTTTTAGTGAAGCGGTCTAGTTAACCGAAAGAAATTCCTATGGATCTATCGAAGAGCGCGAGGGATATATGCATGATCAGAGAGCGGCGAGGCCTGGCATCACACCACACGGTCCATACGCATTCATGGATTCAGGCTTGATGTGGCTACCTGCCTCTCCGCAAGCGTGCATGCAAACCGTAGAATCCTCGCACGCACGCACCAAGAGAAACAACCTCCGGAGTCTGGAGATCGGTCTCGATCTGTGGAGCCGCCGTAGACATGACCCTGGTTGTGCATGTGCGAGCGTGCTCCTCGTTATAGATGAAAATGGTATGGATATTTTCCGACCGTATTCGAAACTGAATCCGTTTAGGGGTTTAATCTGTTCGTATCCGAGTTTGGATATTCAACATCTGATACCGTATCCGTATCCGAATACTTAAATCGCATTTTTATGATGTCGATATCTAATCATATCCTATCCGACATGGTTGACACTATCCATATTCAAATTCGAATCCGGACAGAAATATAAAAACAAATATAATACCAGTGATATCCGTCGGTATCGATCCGTTTTCATCTCTACTCATGTACAAGAGAGGAGGGAGAGGGAGGGATCTGGGAGAGAGATCAGATCATGCACCCCTCCGTCCCGGCCGTGCATGTCAACGTGCCTGTAGCTAGCTAGCTAGCAGTGGCAGTGGCAGCGTTGCCAGTGTACCCACATTTATTACTGCCACAATTCTACTCCCTGCAACTGCAATGCAAGAAGCAATGGCTCCTTCTCTGCTCTCTCCGCCCCCTCCCCATCATCATAGCCGCGGACCCACCCCGAGAACATCTCTCTCCCAGGCGCCATGCGCGTGTGCTGTGTGGCGCAGGCGCCAGGCGCGCCATCGCAGGATGTTTTGCAGGCGTCCTTGGCGCGCCGCGCGCTCTCGTTGACAGAACGGGCCCACGAGGTCTCGCGCGCTTCACCACCGCTACACGTACGCCGTCACGGCCACGGCCACAACACCGACCCAACTATCGTGCCGGCTGACACGTGGGGTCCGCGGGCAGAGCGGGCCCACGTGTCATCGGCTTCGGTCCCCCGGCAGGCCAGGTGCCGTCGTCAGGGGCAAGCTGCCAGCCCAGCCCAGGGCAGGCCGTTCCGTGGGGCTCCTCCATGCTGCTGCCTGTGCTGAGCCTGCCTGGTTGTCCTAGATTTTTCTCTCTCTACAACGGCATCAGCAGCATCACACACGCGCTGCACCCCCGGCCCCCACCACTCTCTCTCTCTCTCTAGAAAAGGATTCTCCTCCACGCCACTATTTAATCCCAGCACGAGGCGGACGGTGATCGGCGAGGCGAGGTGAGGCCGGGGGAGGAGAAGCCCAGCCCCCCGACCCCGATCGACCACGGAACAACAAAAACCCTAGCCCACATCCCGATCTACACCGCGCCTCCACTCCCCACCATGAACTAGCTCGCCTCCCAAAAGCTCCCGTCTTTTGGGATCGATCCCCAGGGCGATCGATCCGAATAAGCACTCGATTAGAACTGTTTAGCCACCCAATTTGATTTAATTCCCACCATAAGTTCTCGCCACATTTCGGCCTGATTACTTTTTTTAATTCGATCGTCCCACCCCGATCCCCATAACCATAAGCAGCAGCACGGCAGCAGCAAGTAAATATCACAGGTGAGTGGCCTAATTGCGCTGTGGCATGCGTGGGTTTTCTGCGATCTCTTTTCAACTGCGCCTGCTCGTAGCACGCAGTGTGTAGCAGTCTCCGTGTTCATCTGGTCTCCTTCTCGTTTTGATCTGGTCCGTCTTCTATTCTGGTTCGTTTCGATCTCTCGAGGCTGTTAGTTAACTTGATGCGAAAAGCGTCCTAAAACCCGTTTACCGATTTTCTGCCACTTGATCGTCTCCTTGCATTGGGTGGTGGTGGTGTACTGTACTGTACTGGGTGTCTGGTGTTGGTTTTTGCTAGAGAGGCTCCGGGCACGAGGAAGCCGCGCAGGCGGACCACTTCGTACCGCGCTGCGCGATTCCGCGGCAGTGCCAAAAAGCTCGCTGGCTCTATGCTTCGATCGCAAAAGCAGCTAGTTTTTCCCTTCCGATCTCTGCTGCCTTTGTCGCTGTTTTCCCAGGCCGCGCTTGCTTTTGTTTCGATCTATCCGTGCTGGTGCGGCTCGCTGCTAGCAGCAGAAAGCGGCTGCAGGTTCTTCGTACAAGCGAACTTTTGCCAGTATCACATGCGCTGCTGCTAGACGAGACGAAACGAGACGAGGCGCTCTCTTTTTCTCTTGCAGCGTTCAGCCTCAGACTCTCAGTTTGATAACTCGGTGATTTTGCCTGCCTTTTGGTGCTTTGGGAACTAAGAGTTTTTGAATGTTTTTTTTCGAACTTACTATTTCTAGATCTCATCAGTTTGGTCGGAAAATGCCAGTGTGCAATATTGTGTGTTAGCTCGTCTAATTTTTTCTATGCGAGTCAATTTGGTTGGGTTTTTGAATTTTTTTTTAAAAAAAATTGGTTGGGTTTCGAAAATTTCCGGCCGGCCAGAGATTAGCTGGTTCTGGCCTTCTTCCTTAACTCTGCAGCTTTTTTTTTTAACTATATACTAGCTGTTTTGATCGATGGGTTTGTTTGCCTTTTTGCTTTTGCAGGAGACAAAAGCTCTGAGGACCCGGATGCAGATGGACGTAGAGACGGTGCAGGCGAGTCCTGCGCTCGCGGCTCATCTGCAGACCTCGCCGGTACGTACGTGTCGGGCCAGTCCGGTCTTACTACACGTAGACGCAGCGACTTTTGCCAGTTCGATTACCTTTTGCTTTCTGTGATCTGGGTGATGAGATCTGTTTGCCTTTCCACTGATCTACACTGCTTGCTGCGGTCAGTTAGACTGGTATATGGGATATTGTGCGCCGCTTTATTAGTTCCTTTTGGGTGATTCGACATTTCGACTGCATGTTGAATCGGGATGTATAGTTGACATTGGGATGTATTAGTTGATATATGCTTTGATGCTCTTGCAAGATATACGCAGTACTAGTTTATTTTGGTGGTAGTTATCTGGACTCAAGAGTTGCTGGGTTTAATCAACTTGTTACTTTGTTAGACTGGTCTTGTTCATTTAAGAGCAAGTGCATGGATGCTGTAGGTAACCAAAATGGTCTAGTCTTCTCCAACATGATCCTTGTTAAAATCTTCTGAGTTCATTAACTGCAGCATTTTGAATTTGCTGAGCCGGGGCTTGATTTAGAATGATGTACTTTACTTACAATGTGCCTTATCTGCACTTTGGAATCTGCAATCTGGATCCGAGTAGTTAGTTTTGTGAGGGCACTCCTACGTACTACTACTAGTTTGTTCAGTACTTCAATTAATTATATACTCGTGCATTTTTTTTGAGAATATATACTCGTGCATTGGTGGTGTTCCATATGTAGTTGATGAGGAAACATGGCCGCTAAATGAATAATACATACTTGCCAAACTAAACACCCTGGGCTTGTGGAGTTTTATGTGCTACTCTGTTTTTGTTTTATGGGCAGTGGATAAAATGCATTTTTTTGGTTTTGTTTACTTGGGGTTCGTTGTGCAATTGATCACTAGACATTCTACATGAACACGTGCCACTAGCTGGATTAGTGTTATTGTTCTTTTTTCACGAAGAGGTGCTGTTGGTTTGTTTTGAATTAACTCACGCAACTAGCATAATTATAGTATTTTTCGAATAAAGTCCCAGATAACTGTACACTTTGTCACTGTGTATACTGTACTGTAGTTCATTGCCATTATCATTAAACCTTTCGAGTTGACTTTGTCAATTGGCTATATACCTAAGTCCTATTTTGGTGCGGGTGTATATAGATATATAAAGCTTTTCATATATATGGAGATATACACAAACCATGTTTTTGAATCATAGAACTGGACCAGGACTCCAGGAGTCTTGCATGTTAAAAAGTTAGTCAATTTGCCAGGTTGTGCTATAAGAGCAGAAAAACATGTTCCCTTTGCATGTAGTAAACGTCTCTTTTCATTTCTGTTGGTGTAGTGGTAGATGATGTTGACTGCTGTCTGTCTTTCACAAGGCTAGGTTCTCCGATGCACGCGCACTGCACGCTAACCATTACAGTGTAGGAGTATATTTTTCTTTTCCAAGAATCATACACGTACGTCTCGGTCTCACCCGTTGTTTCTGTGACCATTGCGCATCACAAGAAGCCACAGGTGAGCAAGTACTACTTCAAGAAGAAGACCAGTAGTAGCCACAGCAGAAATGGCAAGGATGATGCCAACCACGACTCCAGGATCCAACCCAGGTCGCCCCTGAGCAGACAGAGCCTGACCTTCGACGCCACCTCCACCTACCACGCTGGTGAGCACGGCCGGGCATATACGATGCAACACAGCAACACTACTATTCTTCATGCCACACCCACCTGACACTTGTTGTGTGAATTGGTCTGATTTCCATCAGGAGCCTTCTACGAGATCGACCACGACAAATTGCCCCCCAAATCCCCAATCCATCTGAAATCCATACGGGTGGTAAAGGTGAGGTTTTTGTTTCTGGGATTCAATTGCTGCTCTCAATTTCTTAAATCTGTTTGTTTAGCATATGTTTGATCAAGTTTCGTTTCACCTGACGTCTGTGCCTAGGTGAGCGAGTGCACGAACCTGGACATCACCGTGAAATTCCCGTCCCTTCAGGCGCTGCGCAGCTTCTTCTCCTCCTACCCGGCACCCGGCACCGGACCGGAGCTAGACGAGCGCTTCGTCATGAGCAGCAACCACGCCGCGCGCATCTTGCGCCGCCGGGTGGCCGAGGAGGAGCTCGAGGGCGAGGTGCAGCAGGACAGCTTTGGCTCATCAAGCCCCGGCTCTACGACTTCGCCGCACCTCAGCAGGTGCCGTCACGGACATCGCGCCTCCCGCCGCTACCCGCTCCACCTGCGGCTACGCTGGGGCCGGCAGCCGACTCCTGCTTACTCACCACGTTGAAATGCGATGGCGCTGGGTGGGGTATGAGGCGCCGCGTCAGGTACATTGGACGGCATCGTGATGAAGCTCCCAAAGAAGGCTAGTGTTGATGGCTACGACACACAGTCCATCGTCAGGGAGGTGCAGCAGCCTCCAGCGACGCAGGAAGTTAAAAGGAGTGATAGAAACTGTAAGAGGAAGCGGGAGGCAGAAGGGAGCAGCAAGGACAAGAACGGAAACGAGGGCAAGAAGAATAACAAGGTTCAGGGCGGCAGCAAGAAGAGCAAGAAGAGTTCGAAGAAGGCGAAGAAACGGACCGTGGAATCCAAGGACGGTGACCCTCGGCACGGCAAGGACCGGTGGTCAGCCGAGCGTTACGCCGCAGCAGAGAAGAGCCTGCTCGACATCATGCGCTCCCGCGATGCCCGCTTCGGCGCACCGGTGATGCGGCAGGTGCTGCGGGAGGAAGCCCGCAAGCACATCGGCGACACCGGCCTCCTTGACCACCTGCTCAAGCACATGGCTGGCCGGGTGCCGGAAGGCAGCGTTCACCGGTTCCGTCGCCGGCACAATGCGGATGGTGCCATGGAGTACTGGCTTGAGCCGGCCGAGCTTGCTGAGGTACGGCGACAGGCCGGTGTGTCTGATCCATACTGGGTGCCACCGCCGGGATGGAAGCCAGGTGATGACGTGTCCCTCGTCGCCGGCGACCTTCTAGTCAAGAGGCAGGTTGAGGAGCTCACCGAGGAGGTCAATGGCGTAAAAAGGTATCTCTTTTTCTACTCCTTTTGTCTGTCTGCACTCTGTAGTATGTATACGGCCTTGTTCAGTCCTCCCTCTAAAGTTTAGTGCCCTATTGAATGTTTGACATATGTATAAAGTATTAAATATAAACTAAAAAATAACTAATTATATAGTTTGGGACTAATTTGTGAAACGAATCTTTTAAGCCTAATTAGTCCATGATTTGACAATGTGGTGCTATAGTAATACATGTGTTAATGATGGATCAATTAGGTTTAATAAATTTATCTCGCGGATTAATGTAATTTGGATTCTATAATCCAACACCCTATGTTTTTTTATTAGACAATATAACACCAAAATGTGACACCTGAATTTTAAAAGTTTTGTTGCAAATCAACCTGCTACAAGTTAAGCAAGGTCGTAGTTTTAGTTTTATTGCAAATCAAGTGTTTTTCTCACAACAAATCAGTGCTACAACCCTGAGAAAGTTCTTACACAGACGAGGGACGAGGGATTTCTTAGTTTTATCTTAAGTTATTATTCTCGTGGTGGTGTGTGAAGGCAACTGGAGCAGTTAATGTGCAAGGACGATGGGGACTTTGATGCAGAAAGAGCCTACAATTCATTGAAGGTATGCAAAAGATTAGGGCCCTGTTCGCTTGAGTTTATTCAGAACTACTTTTTAGTCATGAAACAATGTTTTTCTCTCACAATATTTCAACATAAGTATCAATATAAGTCAAATTTCAGCATCAACGAACAGGGTGCAGATCCTTTATCCTCTTTACAATTCGTTGTTCCCTTTACTTTTTAAGGCTGCTGCTTCTGAATTAACTGAGCAAGATATGGCAGTGGCACTGATGTGCATATTTCTGTATATTTGGATATTTATTTGCGCCTCTTTTTTTTGGAAAATCATAGGCATTAGAGCATTTTCCAAGTTTCTGTATGTTGGGTCGTGTAAGTCATGTACATCATTTCGTCTATTGATGGGAGGTTTTTTGAAGTGCTAGAATGGTAGTCCTGGACTCCCGGTTCAGTTTCTCTGATGTTTCATAATGCTTGCTATCTGTAAGACCATAGCTAACTCCTTGTCCAGTCTCTGAAATTCTAAATCCAGGATGTACTGATGTACATGATCTGACTAGCATTAACTACAGTTCTCTGTTTTACTTCTCACATTGAATATACTAACTGATAGAAACTTTTTGACATGCCCATTTTGGATGCACTAATGGAAGGTTGTCAATTTGTTTGTCAGGAGAAGTACCAGCGTGTTGTGAGGGCTAATGAAAAGCTTGAGAAGCAGGTGATTTGTTTGAAGGTAAGCGCATGCATTCAGCAACGTTGTCTACTAGGAAAAACGTGGGAGTAAGTTTCAAACAAAATGAGAACAGAGAAATCATGCCTGTTACTAATTTGTCTTCAGTAATTTTCAAACGAAAAGAGAACTGAGAAACCATGCCTGTTATTGATTTGTCTTCAGTTATTCAATTTACAGGGAAGCTATGACTTTGATATTCTCGCAAAAGAAAAAAAGCTATGTCTTTGCTAAGTTTGCTTGCTGCATTTACAGAAACGATCTTGCCTTTTATTTTCAGGACATGTGTGAGAATGTAGTTCAGATGAATGGTGAGCTGAAGAAGGAGGTGTTATCCTTCAAGGTACATTCATGCAGCTAGCTATGACACTGACAATATCTTTTTCATCTATCATCTGTAACATCTATTCCTCTGCATATTTTGTATGCTAGCTCCGTGTAATTCCGAATACAGTTAGTGAACCACTGTCTAATTTCAGGAGCATATAGCTGACAAGAATGATAAGTTAGAGGAGCAGATTACCTATCTCTCCAACTCCTTCCTTTCTTTCAAGGTAGCTCTTTGCATGGCAATGCACTGTTTTTGTTGATTTTGCTCAGCCTATGCAAATGTACATTTGCCATCATCCATGAGTTGAAGTAAACAGAATTGGGTGGTGCAGGATCAGCTGGTACTGGCTCTGAAGATGGAAACAGAACGTCAGCTAGAACTGGCTCCTAGTGAAGCTGTTCCCCGCACAGCACTGTACGTTGGTTCCGGTGACCAGATGATCCCCCGGACAGACGGCACCGTCATCCAAGGCGGCCAAGACAGGCCGGTAAGGAAGAGCAGCTTCCGCGTCTGCAAGCCACAGGGCACGTTCCTGTGGCCGAGCATGGCGTCCGGCATGACCATCAGCGGGGGCGCCAGCAGCAGCTGCCCGGCCGCCGCCACGCCAGTCCCGGGGATCCCTCGCAGCACCAGTTGCCCGAGTAGCGCCGGGCCGGGGCTTCCGCGGTCGTCGCGAGCCCCAGTTGAGGTGATGGCGGCGGCGGCCGGCCTGGACGAGCACGTGATGTTTGGTGCCCTCTTCTCTACGCCGCCCTCAGCGTCGTCCACCAACGCCGCTGCCGCAGCTGCCAAGCCGCAGCTGTCCCTGCCCAGCCCGAGGTCGCCGCTGCAGCCACAAAAGCTGTTTGGCACTGTTACTGCTACTGCTGCTTCTGGGTTTAGTCCTCAAAAGCTGATGCATTTCTCCGGCCTGACTCGATTCCATGTCGTAAGTCCATTTTGCTTACTCTCTCTTTATCCTCTGGTTCCATAGTCTGACATGATTCTGACAATTAGTTCATACTGGCCTGCTGTTCCATTGCTCTCAGCAAGCATTAGTACTAGTTAACCAATCACGAAACGTGCAAGCTGATTCATGTCCCAATTGATCGTGGACTGTGCAGGACGTCTCGTCGTCATCGTCCGGGGCCTGCGGTTCCAGCCTGTTGGAGGGGAAGAGAGTCCTGTTGGATGCAGACGCCGGCGGGATCAGCGTGGTGGGCACCGAGCTGGCCCTGGCTACTCCATCCTACTGCTGAGCTACTACTACCTCTCCACTTCAGATCATCACCTCTTCCCCCATCTGCAAGCTTTGGATGGTTGGCCTCAGGGTGCTCCAATTTTCTTTCTTTCTTAAGATAACGAAGGGGTAACACGTAGCGTAAATACAGAGAAAAAAAAAGGAATAGGAACTCACTTGTGCAGTCTTGGTGGCATAATTCGTAGCCATCTCAGGTTCGTTCGTCAGTTTCTAGTTAATTTTCGTCCAAGCTTGTACTGCTGCAAGCCTGACATGAGTCGCTGGTAGAATTTAAAGTCGTTGCATTGGATTGATCTCTTCATTAAGTCAGTTGGGTATGGTCGTCAGCCCTGTCCATGGTGCATGACACATTTGGAGTTGAGATGCGTCAGTTTTGCTGGCTCCTTAGGGCATATAGAGTTATAGAATATATCCGGTCACTCTTGTATGCCTCGCTGCACCACATATTAAGTGTGACCAATTTTTTCGGGCAAATATATATTGGTGATATATTTAATTTCATCTTACAATCTTTGCGTTTCTTGATGTTGATGATAAGCACGATCATATCCACATGGCATGCCTGCATACATGCCGCTACCTTGTGATTATTATTGTTCACATATTTATGGTGATCGAATTGCACTCTTTTTAAAACATATCAAAGTCCAGTGTTTGCCTGGAATCTGATGTTTTATCTCTTATATCCTGTTTGGTTCCTAGAAATTGGACAATGTTCTAATAATGAAACAAGAAGCACTTTGGGCTAAAACTTAGCTCAAACTAGCCAAGGTTGGCTAACAACTAGTTGAAAATTTGTCTAAGGGCTCATTTGGAACACAGAATGGAAAAACATAGAAATAGAAAAGGCATAGGAAATGAATGTTGGTGTAAAACATAGGAATTTGATAGGAATGACTGTTTGGATATGACATTGGAAAAACATAGGAATTCTAAAGGAATTATCATGCTAATAAGTTGTTTACTTTATTTGCTCAATCACTCCTTTGGTAAGAATTGGTTTCATTACTCATAGACAAGTGGGTACATTGACAAGAAGCAAAGATTAGTATATTAGTTGCTAGAGATGGCTTTCTCGTTTTTCGGGCATAGGATTTTTAGCAAAAGTTTTGAGTGGATGCTAAAATTCGTATGGAATCGGTGTGCATGGGGTAGATTTCCTATGGAATGCCAAGCGTGAATCCTACGAACCAAAGGCTAGGAAAGAGAAAAAATCATTCAATCCAAAGAAGCCCTAAAAATTTAGACCACCTATCAGCTTTCCTGTTTATTCACTAGAGTTAATTTAGACAAATTTTTAGTTAACTAGTGATTAGCCCTTATATCAAAAAGGCTCTCTTAGTTGCAAAGTGATTAGAGAACGACAGTGACTTCCCTACAGCAAAGTGTTGCCAGTAGTTTGTGTAAGGGGGTGTTTGGATTCAGTGACTAAAATTTAGGAGGTGTGTCATAAGGATGTTGCATGGGGTGTTCGGATAATAATAAAAAAACAAATTACATAATCCGTCAGTACTCCACGAGACGAATTTTTTAAGCCTAATTAATCCGTCATTAGCACATATTTACTGTGGCACCACATTGTCAAATCATGGACTAATTAGGCTTAAAAGATTTGTCTCACAAATTAGTCGTAAACTATGCAATTATTTTATAATTAGTCTATATTTAATACTCCATACATATATCAAATATTCGATAGAACAACGACTAAAATTTAGGAGGGTAACAAACACCACCTAAGTTTCCTCGAAACCCGTTTATTAAAGGAGGCGCATTTTACCTCACGTGGGTGAAGCATGGTCAGGCATGGTACCCTACGCTTACATGAAAAGTCAAAAGGAAACATCAATTTGAAATGTAGTCCTACGGTACGGCAAAAAAACACTGGATTGCAAATTTGCAATTGTTAGCAAAAGAAATCACTAGAAGCCAGCATTCAATCAACTATTATATAGTATAGAATAGAAAACGAATCGAAATTGGGCAGAGCAACTAGAAAGTTTTCCTTTCGTAGCTGCCAAGTTTCTGCTTACGATTTTCCTTTTCAAGGAGGACACGTGGTGACCAAGTTTTGCCAATGGAGCGCCGCTGTTTTCGTTTTGTCCGACATCCGGACGATCGGACGGCAGGAGTTGAACTCAGCCTCAGATCCAACGGTTCGAGTAGCTTTCTTGACCAGTACGTAGCAAAATCGAAATAGGTAGTGTCCCAGCCGGCCCCAACGACACTTTGATCCTGGAACCCTCCAAGGCCCAGACCACTCCGGAGTCCATAACCTTCTCCGTCTTCCTTCCCCACCCAAAGCTCCCAAGCCCAAACCCTAGCCACCACGGCAATGGCGGCGACGGAGGGGGCCGACGAGCCGGCGGCGACCGCGGCGGGTGACCCGCGCCACGTTCGCAACACGTGCATCCTCGCGCACGTGGACCACGGCAAGACCACGCTGGCGGACCACCTGGTGGCGTCCTGCGGGGGCGGGCTCCTCCACCCGAAGCTCGCCGGCCGGATCCGCTTCATGGACTACCTCGACGAGGAGCAGCGACGGGCCATCACCATGAAGTCCGCCGCCGTCGCGCTCCGCTCCCGGGCCGGCCACCGCGTCAGCCTCATCGACTCCCCGGGCCACATCGACTTCTGCTCCGAGGTCTCCTCCGCCGCGCGCCTCTCGGACTCGGCGCTCATCCTTGTCGACGCCGTCGAGGGGGTGCACGTCCAGACGCACGCCGCGCTGCGCCAGGCCTTCATCGAGCGCCTCCGGCCCTGCCTCGTGCTCAACAAGATTGACCGCCTCATCACCGAGCTCAGCCTCACCCCCGCCGATGCCTACGTCCGCCTCCACCGCATCATCTCCGACGTCAACTCCATCTACTCCGCGCTGCGCTCCCACTCCTACTTCTCCCTCCTCTCCGCCCTCGAGGATAGCCCCTCCACAATCTCTTCGTCCTCAGCTGAGGACCTACCGGAGGACTTTGAAGACGACGATGACAACGAGGACGCCTTCCAGCCCCTCAAGGGCAATGTCGTCTTCGCCTGTGCACTTGACGGCTGGGGCTTTCGCCCCCAACAGTTCGGCAACCTCTACGCCAGAAAGATCAGAGTCAACCCCTCCGCCTTCCTGAAAGGATTGTGGGGCCCCAGATATTTCGATAAGAAGACGGGGAAGGTTGTGGGGAAGAAAGCTATCAAGAGCGCAGACCCACAGCCAATGTTCGTGGAGTTTGTGTTGAGTGCCCTGTGGAAGATGTACGAGCTGGTGCTGAAGGACGGTGGTGAGAGTCAAGCGGTGAAGAAATTGATTGAAAACTTTGACTTGAAAATTCCGGAACTGGAGCTGAACAGAGATACAAAGGCTGTGCTGCAATCTGTCATGAGCCGGTGGCTGCCGCTGGCAGATGCCGTGATGGATATGGTGGTGGAGTGCACGCCTGATCCTGTTGCTGCTCAAGAGGTCAGGGTTGCAAGGCTTATGCCAAAGAGGGAGGTTACTCCAGAAGATGCTGCTGGTTGCTCTGAGGTTGTTGAGGAGGCAGAGAGGGTGCGGAGGTGTGTCGAGGCCTGTGATGTGAGTGCTGATGCGCCAGTGGTAGTTTATGTGTCAAAGATGTTTGCTGTGCCATCTAAGATGTTGCCATTGAAGGGAGTGGATGGTGAACTGTTGAACCACCATAGTAGTAGCGAGTCAGAGGAGTGCTTTATGGCATTTGCAAGGGTCTTCAGTGGCGTCCTTCATGCAGGGCAGAAGGTATTTGTGCTGTCGCCATTGTATGATCCAGTGAAAGGGGATACAGTTCAGAAGCATGTGCAGGAGGTGGAGCTTCAATACTTGTATGAGATGCTAGGACAAGGCCTGAAGCCAGTTGCCAGTGTGGCTGCGGGGAATGTGGTTGCAATCCAGGGCCTTGGGCAGCATATATTGAAGAGTGCCACATTGTCGTCGACCAAGAATTGCTGGCCCTTCTCGAGTATGATGTTCCAGGCATCTCCGATCCTTAAAGTTGCAATTGAGCCCTCAAATCCAGCTGATCTAGGAGCTCTTGTTAAAGGGCTTAGGCTTCTTAACCGGGCAGATCCATTTGTCGAGTATACTGTTTCGCAGAGGGGTGAGCATGTCCTTGCTGCTGCTGGTGAGATACATTTGGAGCGGTGCATAAAGGATTTGGAGGAGAGATTTTCAAAGGTCAAATTGGTGGTCTCAGACCCCCTAGTTTCCTTCAAAGAGACAATCGAAGGGGAAGGTGCCAGTTTAGTGGAGAGCTTGAAGAATCCACAGGAGTTTGTTGAGAGGACTACTCCAAATGGGAGGTGTACTGTGCGAGTTCAGGTCTTGAGGCTTCCCAATGCTCTGACTAAGGTCCTTGAGGAAAGCGAACAGTTGCTTGGTCAAATAATTGACGGGAAAACAGCAAAAAGGGATGGTGTTTTGGATCCTCGCCTTTCTCAGGAAGATGGTGATTCTGCTGCAACTCTCAGACAGCGGATGATTGATGCCATAGACAGTGAATTAGACACAATCTCTAAGCAAGTTGATAAAGAAAAACTTGACAGGTATAGAAAGACATGGCTTGGACACCTTGACAGAATCTGGTCACTAAGTCCTTGGCAGGTTGGTCCGAATGTCCTTCTTTTGCCTGATTCAAAATTAAGTGGTGGTACAATGACTGTCCAAGATGGAAGGCAAGGTATACTTGTGAGTGGCAGAGCTCATGTCTCTGAGAAATTGGGGTTTGTGAGGGAATGTGAAGCCAAAGATAACGATCTTGACAATGGTGATGGATATGCAACAGATGCTCCTGAATCATTGCATATAGAGTCTACGGCACTAAGGGAACAGCATTGTCTCAGGATTCCAGATTGCCACTAATGCTGGGCCTTTATGTGATGAACCTATGTGGGGTCTTGCGTTTATTGTTGAGCCTTACATATTTGCTGATGGCTCTGATGCTGCCAACCACTCTGATCAATACAATGTCTTCAGCGGTCAAGTAATCACTGCGGTTAAAGAAGCATGCAGAGCAGCTGTTCTTCAGAACAAGCCAAGGCTTGTTGAGGCTATGTACTTCTGTGAGTTGACCACGCCAACGGAGCAGTTAGGTGCAACTTATGCAGTTCTTGGTAAGAGGCGAGCAAGGGTTCTGAAAGAAGAGATGCAAGAAGGAACCTCATTATTTACAGTGCATGCTTACCTGCCAGTCACTGAGAGCATTGGATTTTCGAATCAACTTAGGAGTTTAACTGCAGGTGCAGTTAGTGCTCTCCTCGTTCTTAGCCACTGGGAAGCTATTCCTGAGGACCCCTTCTTTGTCCCAAAGACACAGGATGAGCTTGAAGAATTCGGAGATGGTTCAAGCATTGGGCCAAACTTGGCTAAAAAGCTTATGAATTCTGTTAGACGAAGGAAAGGACTGCATGTTGAAGAGAAAGTTGTGGAGCATGGCACAAAACAGCGGACTCTTGCTAAAAAGGTATAGTTGTGTCCAAAATCCAGGTGGTAGGAAAACTGTATCTTTCTCCAAGATTTTGTGCTGGTATACTGAAATGTAATCAAAACTTTTATGCAGTGAAATAGTTTTCATTCATACAGCATTGTTGTTTGAGAGCTGAGATGGGATTTGTACGGCATTTGTGTCTTGGTCTATGATATTAGAAAGATCACAGTATTTTCTGGACGTTTGTTTCTTGCAATACCAGTGAAATACTATAGCACGGCCTTTTGTCCTGGCCTCCTGGGAGTAAACTGTGTAACCTTGAGCACTGGTGACGATACTATCTTTTCATTTGTCCTCGTCCTGTCTTTTTTTAGCACCATAAGAAAGTTTATGTAGAACATTTCTTTTGTTTTTCTGGTTCTGTATGCATGTAGTGAGAGTGAGAAGTTAGCTTGCTTTACACCAGAAATAAACTGATCAGATCTAAGTTATTTTCTACATCTCCAAAGGATATGCATCGCCGAACTAAATCAAGTTCAAGCTTTGCAAATCATCAAGAGACAACTAAACTATTTTGTGGCAAACCCTTTCTCTGAACTTCAGTGGAGGAGAGCTGAACTACTCCCTCCGTTCCAAATTATAAATCATTTTGACTTTTTTGGTAGACATACGGAGCAAAATTGATGACAGAGCACTACTTTATGGTACATTATCTACATACATAGCAGAATTGTTGTATCAAAAAGTCAAAGCGACTTATATTTTGTACATGACAGAGCACTACTTTACACTTCTTCCCATCATAGAACTGTTCACACATGCACACGCTGCCACTGAACCTGATTGCTTTGACAATTTATATCCCTCTTCTCTTTACTGCTTCATGAGTTATGAGTCTTGCTTATCATGGAAACTGAGACCACCTTTACTGAATAGCAGCTTGCACTTGCCAATGAATGCAATCAGTACTCTCTGTTGCTGCAAATCCCTCTGATTCACCACTTCATATAGCAGTCTGTCACTTCTCTATTTGCACCTTCACATACCAGCCACTGATCTCTGCCTTTTTTTTTTCTGTTCTCTCTGTCCTCGTCGTCACCCCATCTATCTGCTGCTACAATCTCTAGGCCTCCATCTTGTTGCAATCGAAATTCAGACTCTGGTGCCTTCCTTTCCTGAATATGACTTCAGCAACAGATCAAATCTATACTGATCTGCCCCTTCTCCTATAATCTTCTTACCCCTCATGATAATTTTTTTTGGAAACAATGGCAATGGCAGTAGCTCTGCCTTTCAGTTAAAACGAATGAAGTTTATATACAAGCAAAGGTAGCCAAGCGTGGCGCCAAACACCACGAAAGGTTAGCCCACCCACACAACGCGGTACATACTACCATGAGTCATCGTTGCCGAGCATGGTTGCAAAGCAGCCAGCAGCTCTGACTTCCCATGGCAAAATACCGACGACCCATCCTAAGATGTCAGACCAACGGGCCCGAAGCAGGAGGCTGCATCATTGCCGAGCTCAATGGCTTCACAAAGAGCAGCTCCGACTTCTTGCCTTGATCCCACGCCCCGCCACGGCGATTGCTGAGCCTCTAAAGCTGAAACCCAGCCGTCGGAGAAGGAGGGTTCGACCCACGTCATCGTTGCCGAGCTACATCCCCTGATGCAGCAGCTCTGACCCGCCGAAGGACACATCACAGTCGAGACGAATTTCCACAATGACGCCTTCAGGAAGGATATGACGCCGATTGCGCCGCCGTCGCTTGCCCAGGAATGGACCGGGTTTCCACCCGTAGAAGACATGGCTGGGGGCACGAAAACACGACGCCCCAACAAGGAAATCGACGCCCACAGGCGCCACCGTCGCCAAGGCTTTCGCCCGAAGTGCCCCTAGCACATACGTCGATCCAAGATGCCGGACCCTAGCCTGATATTACTCTCTAATCTATAGTAACTGCCAAAACTGCAGCTACTACTCTTCTATAAGAGGGCTTAAATCTAAACCTCTGGGCACTGATCTTGTTCTGGCCATGGAAATTGAGGCACTCTTCGCTGAACAATCTTGCTAGTACCAATACTGTATTACTAGTACTCTTGATGATTTGTTGCCGCATACAGTACTCTCCACGCCTGACTCCACCTGCATGCTGCATACACTGTTCTTCTCATCATCACTCAATCTTCTCTGCTATAACCTACAGGCCCCTCTACTACTACTCTCCTCTCCAACTGTAACACATCATCTCTGACTCTGCTATAAAATTGCAGACTTGCTATCTTTTACTCAACAACACATCTGTCAATACTACTCTGCCCACTTCTCTTGCCCCGCATGAAATTATTGAATGGGATATAATACGTTCTCCTTGGTCGTTTCATCTTGTGATACACATGAAGGCTTGCTGGGCATCGATGCTACACTGTTAAACTGTTAAAGTGAAGTCGGTTCCAGCTTGTTAGTGCACTTGTATGTCTGCAAAAGTGGAATTTCAGATAGCTTCAGTTGTTCTAAAATCCTGCGCTAATCTCGTGCAGTTTGATTTTCATCTTATTAATAGTTGGTTGTTCTGGTTACGCCATCTTCCATTGGAACAACATTTTTACGGACGTGCTCACGTGCCTCCATCTGTCGGCGCAGGGATGCAGAATATGGGTTTCTAAACTTTCTACCGATGCGTGCCATTCCATTCTCGTGTGGTGAGCAAACCGAAATCCTGACAGACAGGCGGATGGATACTACTCTTGTGCGTGCCTGCACAGCGTTGTTTATGGTCGGTGCATACTCAACTACTGGCTAGCCGCTTCGAGATTCCACCGATTTCTTGGTCAAAAAACGGGAAAAATAATCACTTGCCAGGCTGAATGCGTAGTAGAATTCAATCACACTGCATGTCTAAAACATGTGACTGAAATACCACACGCTGTTCGGCGTGGCCATGTCCGAGCCCGACGCCCTCTCGCCGACCTGCAGGTGCTCGCGTCGAGCATGGCGTACGCGCCGCTGGCCAGCAAGAAGGACGACCCCGTATGGTACATACATCCGGTGGCGGTGGAGGGCATCGCGGCCGGTGAGCCAGGCGCGGGTGGCGGTCCCAGCGCACGCGCTCGCGCTCGCGGCCGGTGGCGTCGTGCTCTGCTCTCTGCGCGGGCGCCGTACACGGACACGGAGCTGCCGCCCGGTACGGTGGTGGAGGCGTTCGACAGGCTCATGGGGCGAGACGCCACGTACGGACGGCCCAGGGCCAGCGCGCCGGTGCGCCGTTCGAGCTCTGCTACAGCTCGCAGGCGCTGGTGACGACGCGGATCGGCTACCAGGTGCCGTACACCGATCGACCTGATGCTGGAGAGCGTGAGGAACTGGACGCCGGAGCTGGGCAGCACCTGGGCGGTGAACGTGGACGACACCGCGGCGACACGGCGTGCTTCACGTTCGTGGAGATTAAGGGGACGTGGACGCCATGATGCCCCGGCGGTGATGATATGGTACCGATGTGTGATATAGCACCTGGTGCCAAGTTTTTCTTCGAGGAAAAACCTGGGGCCAAGTTCGAGAACCCTTCCTATCGCCTCGGAACGGAAGGTTTGCCTACAAGCGCCAGCGGCCCAGAAAGCCCATCAGGCTTTCACAGTGGTAATACACAAGCAACACAACAGGCCAGCGTGTCCAAGTGTGGACCAGCCCATAAGAGCCTGCTCCCGTGCACCACCACAGTGGCCCATAAGAGACATGGGGCGCTGCACGAGACTGTTCCATCCTGGCATCCTGTGTCAATATATGGTGTGACGCTGATGGAGACACGAGCATGTGTTGATGCCAAACTACTACTACCACCCAACTAGTAGAGGTGGAAATTTGGTGGTGCGTTTGGTTGTTCTCGCAGGGTTGGACCGGTTGGTTGGTTGGTTGGTGCGTCGCCTTCCTTGACACTCCAGTTGCATTACATCATGTTGCTAGTATTCAGGGCGTCAGGCAGCACACACAGGCACGTCGGATCGCAGAGCAGCAGCGTAACGTGCGTGTAGCCTTTGCAGCCCGTCCTTGTCGTACCGTATGATCCTTCCTTTTCGGTCCCAATATCCAAACAGGGTTTTGCCGCTTGCCGGAGAGAGAGAGAGAGAGAGAGAGATGGATTGGTAGGTAGTACTTGTTACTTTCATATATACTGTCTAAACCTCTGGGCTGAGAGATGATTCTGATAGCGACTCGTTCAGTTCCTCGTTTATCTCGTTCTTGTCCGTTCGCATCGCTGAAAAAATAAATCGAAATATTGATTTTAGCTTCCGACTGAAAAAACAAGCTAAAAATATGAATTATAAGAGAAATGATCAAAGCCATAATCAAAATCAAACGTGGTGTCGCGCGCATTAAGCCAGCGACAATCCAAAAGCGAAATGCCCGCAGCAGTTTGAGACTCGTTTATTCAGAATGCATACCGTCTTCTTATGCTAGATGAGCAGATGCACAGAGACTCAAGACTCGAGAGGGAGAAGAAAACCTTTGGGAATCTTGTTCCAATTCCAATGTCGTGGAAAGCAAACGCTGACACCACGCCAACGGACTATAGGTCGGTTTTTTTTTTTTTGGCTACTGTATGTCCATGCGCCATCAGGGTGCGCCACCGTGTTGATGTTGACCAAATCTAACTCTGGCTTCAAAAGAACTGGTACGGTATTCCAGCACACACAAAGAGACCGCGTTCCGTCCCATGTAGAACACTTGTTCTTTTTCAGTAGAATAGAAACCATCTCGTTTATTTATTTATTTTTCTTCAAAAAAAGTGGGTTCACCCAAAAATCTTCAGTTTGATGCAACGGGCGCCAATGGTTTCCTAAAAAAAAGGTGTCAATGGCAGAGCAAGGGGGTGGCAGGGGTCATGCCCCCTCCCCCTCTCCCCAACATCATAACAATTTTTTTTACCTCATGTAACTTAATGGTCTAATTCATATCGACACAGATTTTGTAACCAAATTTATATCATATGTTTTTTGTTGGTGCCTTCTAGACAATAAAACCATACTTCATACAAACCGCGACT